CCAAATGTTGTATTTTCAAAGTTCACTAATGCAATTTGCAATGCATGCAGACCACAAGGAATTTGGTAGGAGGAAGACTGACACATCAAGTTAAATTTGACAACTGCACCTGATTTGGAACCAGACATATAGGCAGTATTATCTGTAAGCCAAAAATTGCATTTCTTTGGACTAATCTCATTTTCCTCACATGTTTTTTTTACTGCTTTGGCTATAGTATTTCCATTGCATTTGTCTAAGTCATCCATCTTTGCAATAGTAATTGTGGGCTGATTTTTATCTTCGTTCCAATGAGCAAAACAAACCAAAAATATTTTTTTATCACCACGTGTGCTTTCATCACACATTATTCCATAAGAATAAAAACGTGATTTGGTATCTTTTGGACAATTTTGACGAAGACACAAAGTGGCAACTTCTTTATTCCAGCGTGAAATAGTTCCAGTTGAAAGCTAATGATCTGGTTCCACACCTGTTAAAAAATGTATAATTGCTCTAGTACATACATTCAACAGTAGATGAAATAGAAATGCTACCAGTGTTACTGATTTTGGTTGCAAGCTGCACAAATTCAGGTGTGTATTGCTTCTTGTTTCCTTTTATCATCCTTTTTATTACATTTTGGAGCTGATTTGGAGTAATATTTTTTGCTTTTTGAATAGAAGAACGCAACCTAGAAATATTATTCTTTTTTGCTTCTTTAGCTTTCACTTCTTTCATCTTAAGTGATCTTAATTGAAGATCAGTAACCTCCTTTTTCTTTTCCATTTTATGCATTTTGGTTTCCATTTCACTAACCCTCTCTTGTATTGATGATATAGATGAAGACTGTTTATAAATTCCACCATTTATAAATTCTTTCACTTTTTTTTGAATATAAGGTGAATATATTTCTCCATGATGGTTTCCTTTATCATATCTCATTGTTGAAAATAGAGTATAAGCATTGATTATTTGGTTTTCAGGCAAGTTTTTTACATGCTCAATGAGTTCATTCTTCTTCTTTTCTATTTTATTTTGTGGAATAAGAGCATTTATTTCATGGATGATTTCTTGAGGTTCATTAAAGCTAATTTCATGGACAGTTTCCTGAAGTTCATCAGAGCTAACTTCACAAGTAATTTCTTGAGATTCATTTGAGTTAATTTCATGGATGATTTCTTGAAGTTCATTTGAACTCATAGATTTCAAGGTTTCAATAAGTTGAGTTTTAGAGAATTCTTTATTATATTTTTTCAATCTGCAATTTGCAAGACTAGTTAAAGCTATTTTTTTCAAATGTTTTCTTAATTTTTTTTGAGGAGGCATTTTAATATTTAATTTATTACAATAATTTTATTATAACAATATATATGTAGAGATATATTTTGTGGGATATGGATTATTCTCAGTGTAAGTTTATTATTATTTTGTTCAGAATTATTACATGATGAAAAATCAGAGAAAGAGAATTTCAAAGGCTATTTGAATTAATTTGATGTTACTCAATGCTCAGCATCAAGATACAAGAAATTCATTGAGAAACAAGTTAAAATTGTCAAGGGGTTAAATTAATAATATTAATAATTCAAAATTCTTTGTGGAAAGGAAAGATTCCATTATAACTACTAATTAAAGGAATTTTTGCTTCGCATATAAAGGCACAGTTGATTAAAGAATTTAAGATGAATCATGAAAATTTAATAATCCAATGTTTGTTATACAAACATCTAAAGCTTCGTGTATAAAGACAGGTTAATTAAAGAAGATGATTATGATGTTACATAATTTATGTAATTAGAATTTGTTTGATGCATATGAAAAGAATTAATAATCATCCAATGTTTAATAGTTAAAGAAGAGTTTGCTTTGTGTATAAAGATGCGGTTAATTAAAGAAGATGATTATGATGTTACATAATTTGTAATTAAAATTTGTTTGATTCATATGAAAAGAATTAATAATCCAATGTTTGTTATGCAAACGGTTGCGTTGGTTAATTAAGAAGAATTATGTATGTGATTTGTGTAATTAGAATGTGTTGCACACAGTTAGATAATCAATTAATATTAATATGGTTAAATTAATAAAAAAAAAAAATATTAATTAGTCATGTAGAATTTATTTATGATAAGTCGCACGCAGCAATCAATTGTTGATTTATTCTTTATTCGAATTATTCATTCTATTCGTTCTATTCATCCTATTCATTCTATTTGTCCTATTCATTCTATTCGTTTTATTTGAATTAATTCTTTTATTTGTTTTAATTCATTTTGTTTGTTTGTTTGTTTTAATTCGTTTTATTCGAATTAATTCATTTTAATTCATTTTATTTGTTTTATTTGTTTTGTTCATTTTACTCATTTTAATTTGTTTTAATTTGTTTTATTTGTTTTGTTTGTTTTAATTTGTTTTAATTTGTTTTAATTTGTTTTAATTTGTTTTAATTTGTTTTAATTTGTTTTAATTTGTTT